CTATGTATTCTATGTATTCTATGTATGCATGTATGCATGTATGCATGTATGTATGTATGTATGTATGTATGAATCTGTATATATACACATAGATAGATACATGTATATACGTAGTAATAGATATTATGCATGTATGTAGAGGACTGGGATTCATGTCTTCATTGATCCACGCCGCCTGGTGGTTGTTCAGCTCTTTGGAGCGCAAAGCCGCCGTCTTGGTTTGCAAGTCCATGAAATCCGCCTCGACGGTTCAAGGATTTAGGGTTTAGGCGCTGGGGTTGTTGATATAGGGCCTAGGGCTTCGAGAGTTTCTGCGCGCTCAAACTACACCCCTCAACCCCGATTGAAGGTGCCTTGTAAGCCTCACTGAAGCAGTACTGCTCCGTGTAGTTGAGGATCTCAGGATCTTGACATGGAGGATAGAAATACCACTCCAGCAGAAACTGTCGAGTCCACGGCGAACTCCGAAATAAAACAGTTCCAGTGTCGAAAAGCTCTTTTCGAATACTGGAAGGGAAATCCTGCGAATGGTGCTGCAGCCAGATATGCTTCTCAACATCCCCGACTGGCACAACATCCTCTATTCGAACGTGCTGGTCATAGAACATGGCATCTGCATCGACCCAGAATACAAAGTCATACTCACAAAGGTGGAGTAGAACTGCATGAATCTTGGACCAGTGGGGCATCCTGGACTTGTCGATCACGTTTGTCTCGATATGGAAACCATAATCGTGTCGCTTGGCATACAGCCGGTTTCTTTCGCCAGTTATGTTTGCGTACTGCCCAATGTTCTCGGTGTGAACAGTAACGATGCCAATCCTCGGTGCTCAGCGCAGGCACCTACCATGTAGATGCTTACCGAATCTTCACCTAGAACCTGGCGGATCTAGCGACTGGTATACTGCGAACTGCATTTCGACGGGTCAATCTCTTGGAAGACACGACTCGTCACTAACATGCATCTATCGGCATAATGTGCGCCTATTATTAAGCCGCGCTCTCCCGGGCTTCGGATTTTCAGGCTGAGAAAAGCCTAGTCAAGTCACTGGCCTAGTCCAACCCGAAACCCTCGAGATCAATCAAGCCCAAAGCCCCAGTCCCAAAGCCCCAGAATTCTAGAATTATGTCACAGACCTGCACTCCTCACCGGAGCCCCCTGATAAACTGACAGAATCTAGGACTTGCCAGCAAAATGCCGTGGTCGGGCAGCGCTGCCCTGCCAAATGTGGCTGGTGGCTTCGGGGCAAAACCTTGCTACTTCGATAAGGTGCTTCTTGCGCAAATGATCCTTCCCAGACCAGCTCACTGTAATTCACTGTAAACGGTTTAGGGTTCCGGGGCTGCGCTGCCCGTATTGCTGCCTCTGTTCCTTGCCCATTGCTTCATGACAACCGTGCCGCTGTGCCCTCAGCAACTCTGTGTGATTAGTACATTCAGCAAGCATCCACACCGGTGACTTCAGAACAGATCATGCGCATGCTGACCATGATTAGCATGACACCGAAAGCGTACCGATCTAGATATGACTTGCTCCAGCACGTGCCTTCAAGAAAGCTGATCGTTGAGGCTGGTCGGAGTTTGAGGTTTGGGGGCTCGGGCCACCGGTATATCCCCGGCATAACTGAGCCTCGGACCTCCGACCGCAAAGAGGCAAAAGAAAGCACTGCCGCACTTGCTGGCCGCACCATGGCGGACGTGTCTTTAGCTCTGGGCGATCACTTGGGGTTGTTCGGTTTTGCTATCTGGCCTTTAGAACTTGGAGCTCAGGGTCTAAGTCTAAGCTCCTAGGACTGCTAAGGGATGGCTGGCTACAGCATACGCTGGTTGACGAAACGGATTGATCCGACCCCCCATGCCGTATGTACCAATGAGGACTGCACCTTCCTACGAGCATACTGGCTGGTTCTTTCGCACTTCGATGTGGTGGGGCCTTTTCAGTTCTTGCTCAAGCTTAGCTGCAGCCCGGGAATCAAAGAGGCATCCATGCATGCCACGGCTGGCATATACTAGGATCGAAATATATTAAAATGGTGACACAACGGCACTGGGAACAGCCATGACATAGCTGGGAAACAGCATTTTGTATCAAACGACTGTAAGTCGCAGCGAGCATCGAACCCAGGAGTGCGGTTTGCACCCTGAGCCCTCAAGCGTGACCAGCCTGACTTTCTGAGTGACTGGAAGAAGTCAGTTTCAAAATTCGAGCTAGCCTAGCGCATGCGCTGGAACCCCTTCGAAATCCCTCGCTGCCGTGAGCAGTATGATCCGCTGTCATCATTTCAGAGTTGGCAGACTGAAAATGCTACAATTGTTTGTACGGCTATTACCATTCATCACGAATCCACTTCCCTCCACTTTCACTTGGTTCTGCCATCATTCAAGTGGTTTCTTATGACGATAACCTGACTATGATTCGGACCACATCGTGGCCTGGGGCCTCAAACAGCCAACAGCTTCGTTTTTGCACTTGCATCTGCAAGAAGACAAATGGAGCACTCCAAAGCAACGCAGCAACTCAGCAGCAAAGCATGCATCACACCCTGACCCTGCTGATATCACCAAAACATGACCATCATGGTTATCAGGTTGACATCTGCCATCAGCACCAGCCTCGCAGTCGCGAAGATCACACCAACATCGTCACGATCATCATCACCACTCAACCTCATCAACATTATCATGCACATCATAAACGTCATCATCGCCGTCAGTGTCATCATCAGTAGCTTCGCCCGAGGCTGTGACCAGAGGGAGCTCCAGTAGGACATGACCCACCTGGAGTTGTGCACCCGGATGAGCTCTATGACTAACTCTGTCTGTGTGTGTGTGTGTGTACACACAGCATCTACCATTTTCGAGATAGATAGATACATACATATTTACCTGCATACGTACATGCATGCATGCATACAGATGCGTGTGTGTGTGTGTGTGTGTGGGGAACCCAAACTACAACGGGATCGTGCGGCTGTGACCTTGAGCATGTCATTGTTTCTTCCGTGCAGGGGGGCCGAGGACTCATCATACAGCTCGGGCAACGAAGCGCTGTATGATGCAGTCAGGTAAACGTACCTGCAGATCAGTTCCTGGGTGCAGATAGCACAGCTGGAAGGATCAACACTGTCTGTGCATGAGTGATCAGCAGTCTGAGTGCATGCAAGGTTTCAGGTCACAGGTGATGCTTTTTAGTAAATCAGCAGCAAGGAAACATGAGCCTATTGAAGACCTCCCACAACATTTTCGTTTTCATCTTTGATGCCTCCTCTGAGTCTCTGACTCTGTTTGGAGTTGATATCACTCGTGAGAACTCACACCAGGGTTTGCCTGGAGTTCGAGTGTGATTGGGCATGGCCTTCCGTCATGGCGCCATTACCGCTGCTCTCGAGGCAGTATTCCATTGAAACAGTG